TTTAGCGAATAATATCGAGAGCGCTTATATAGGTGTGAATGAAGTATATATATAATATACTGTGTGAGAAATATATATATATATATATATATATATATATAAAATATCCAGTGTGAGATATATATATTTGTATATAATATCCTCTGTGAGAAATATTATATAGAGCATCAATGTGTATATAGATTATACTGTCGATGAAAATTATCGAAACAACTGGAAGCAATTGGGTATGGATTCACCCAGTTATATAGTCGTTCGATACACATTACGAATGTATGGACCAATTTGTAAGCAATTCAACTTATATATGTTCCTGGGGTAATATTGTATTTTTATGTTATCTCTCTACTTGGATAAAGCCCTTTCCATGTATCGTTTCGTCGATCTCCTAATATCCAGAATCACTTCTTACTTACTTTCAACTCTATATATTATAATACTCTTCCATTTTTTTTTTATTTTCCCTCAACACATTTGGAATTTTTCTATTTTTCTATTTTTTCGTCAGAAATTAATTTCGTTTTATGGGACAAAAATATTAATTTGTTTACTCGTTATTTTTATTTGAAAAATAAAAAAAAATTTTATTAATTTATTCCGGAGAACAAAATTCTGATCGTAAAATGAAGAGAAAGGCGAGGAGGGAGATATAGATAATAATGATTGTCTCGCAGGAGGAGAAAAGAGGAGAAAAAGATAGAAAGACAATTTCGAGTTTTGTTGTTTTCGCGGTCCTTGGCAGACCATTTGGACAGGATATACATATATACTTGACTGTCGTTTGGGAAAAAAGATCAATATATGAACTCCTGCCAATCTCTATGTTAATGCCCCTCCCCCCTCCCTCCCTCCAGCACTCGTTTCTCGTTGAGAATAAACGCGCGACACTGCCAGAAGCTTTCTCTCTTGAAGGACCCCTAAAAGTGAATTGTTACGTCTGCGGGTGACCTCGGGACCTCTCCTTACGGCCGAATGTCGTACTAGTGAATTATAAGTCCTGTAAAGGTCCTTTCCAAGACACTGTATCAGTTCCCCAAAATTAGAGCAATAAACGACCACCAGAAGTCTATTTCGCAAAATTAATAAATAGGGACATTTGTATTCTCTATTTCTCTCGCACACTCTCGAGATTCATATATATTCAACCCCCAAAATTCATATTAAATTCCACCGGTGTCGTAAATTTTTAGTATTCTAATTTTTCGTTAAATTGATTATCATAAAAAAAAAGAAAATTTGAAAAAAACATTTGAAAAATTTTCAACAAAAAATTGATTCCTTACTTTTTCCGCACTACTTTTGTATTAATTAGAAAATTATTTCGAGTATTGAAATTCTATTAAGAGAATTAATTGAGAAGAGAGAATATAAATATTCGTTATAAATTGAAAAAAAGAAGTAGATTGCAAATGGAGTTTTTCTCTCGTTTAGGTAAATAAAAGTGTCGCAGCTCGCTTTTCCAACCCCCTCGAGAGAATTTTATTCGTGACCCTCCACTGGTTTTACAACAGTTCATGTTTATATCGAGTAGTTCGATTCATTCTGGGCGGAGTTTGAAGCTTGACCATTGGCCATCGCGCAAACTCAAATTCCAAGCCCCACCTTTCACAGGTTATGTTATTTTTTTTTTAAAGTCAGTTTGCCGACGAGTAAGGGTTGTTTTCTGAGGGGGAAATATTTCCCGACAATAGGGTGGAATCTTTAAGGACCAATCGCGTGTCGCACTTTCGAAACATTGTTTGTAAAATTTACTCCTAAATATTAAAATTCTAAAGGAAAAATAAAAATTGCTAAAAATAATTTATACTCTTTACTGTACTTTTACAGGGTGTCTACTAACCGGGAAATCCGGGAAATAGCCGGGAATTTAATCTGACCGGGAAAAAGCGGGAATAAGCCAGGAATTTTATAAAAAACCGGGAATTTTCACCAAAATTAAAAAATGTTTTAATATTTTAATTTGTTTTTAAAAAATTCTCTTTTTATTTCAATTTTTAAAGATATTTATACTGTTCTCCAAATTTGAATGAGTTAAAAGTAATTAATTTGAATTTCATTTAATTATTTTAATTTAATAATTGATAAAAAATTTAATTTTATAAAGAGTCACATTCTAATGTATTCATATTTTTTAGTGCGAAGATTAATAATTTAAATTTTTATTAGTTAATTTAAAAAAAGATACACTTAAAATTTTTTAATAAAATTGAATTTTTCCAAAGTTTTTATTGAAATTTCTGAAAAATAAGATTTTTGAAATTTTTTAAATCTATTGTTTCAAGATAATTGAATTTTGACAAACAAATAATTGAAAATTTTTGAAATAATTGAAATTTCTTTACATTCCATTAAAAATAATTGAATTCTTCTAAAGAATTTTATTTAAATTTTTCGCAAATAATAAAGGGAAGTTAGTCATCGTAATTATAATTTTATTTTTAAAAATTTCTTCGCAAAATAATAATTATTTTCATAAATAGTAAAACTCATTGCAAAATTTCAATTATTTTTAAACAATTTTAATCGAATTTCTCAATAAATGTAATTAATCTTAAAATTTTTATTAAAATTCGTCAAAAAAAATTTAATTATTTACAAATTTTTTCGCAATCATTCAAATATTTTCATAAATAATAAAATTTTTACAGGATTCAATTATTTTCGAAATAATAAAATTCTTCTTATAGGGATTCAATTATTTTTACAAATATAATAAAATTCATTACAGAATTTCAATTATTTTTAATACAATTTTAATCGAATTTCTTGAAAAATGTAATTATTCTTAAAAATTTTATTAAAATTCGTCAAAAGAATTCAATTATTTCTAGAAACTGTAAAAAAATTTCTCTCAAGAATTCAATTATTATTTTTATAAATAGCAAAATTCTTCAGATTTACTAAATTCTTTTAAATACTATTATTAAAAAAAATTCTTTCAAGAATTCAATTATTTCCATAAAAAGCAAAATTCTTCAGATTTACTAACTTCTTTTGAATATTATTATTAAAAAAAATTCTTTCAAGAATTCAATTATTTTCATAAATTTCCATAAAATTCTAAAAAACAATTGAAGTTAATTTCAAAAGTAAAAAAATTCTTAGCAGAATTCAATTATGTTTAAAAATATTTTTTAATTCTCCTCAAAATTTCAATTATCTTTATAAATAATAAAATTCTTCTCTGAAATTCAATTATTTTCAACAACAATTTTGATAAAATTCTTCAAAGGAATTCAATTATTTTCACAAATAATGAAATTCATTCCAAGAATTCAATTATTTTTAATACAATTTTAATTAAATTAGTCGATATAATTGAATAATTTTTTTAACTTTTAATAAAATTATTTTAAAAAATCCAATTATTTCCGAAAATTTTAATAGAATTCTTCGCTAGAATTCAATTATTTTTATACAAATAATAAACAATTTCACAGGAATTCAATTATTAAAATAAAATCTAATAAAATTCTTCGCAAGAGTTCATTATTATTTTTTAAAGATTTAATAAACTTATTCCAGGAACTCAATTATTTTTTCATAAATAATAAAACTTATTGCTGAATTTCAAGTACTTTTAATACAATTTTAAATATAAATTATTCGTTAAATTGAATTATTCTTTTAACTTTTAATAATATAATTTTAAAAAATTCAATTATTTCCAAAAATTTTAATAAAAATAAATTTTTGAATCCATTTGTAGTTTTATTTATGTTCAAAATCAATTAAATTTAAAAGTTGATGAGAAAAAAAACAGGGAAAAATTATAATAAATTCAGGGAAAAAGCTGGGAATTTTATTGAATGATAATAGTAGACCCTTTATACCAACCAGAAGAAACAAAATGTCGCCAAAGTGTGTAATAAAAAAAAATCGCCATTCGACCTTTCTCGAAGTATAAAAAGAAGATTCGATCATAGATAGAAAAAAAAATACATATTTTCCCTCTGAAAATCTTATACACAATTAACAGGAAGTACTGCAAAGATCAAGAACCGTCCCACACTTCATTCTTCGGAAATCGAAGATTGTAATCTGCATAAAAGCGTCGAACGATTTCTCAATCGTTCGGCGCTCTTAAATGCGAATAAAGTGTTTTTATGAATAAAGTGTTTTGGGCAATGAATTAAAGTGAATGAAAAATTAAAATGAAAGACCAAAAGTATCGATGCGAGGAAATGTAAAGGAATATTTTCTAAACCTGAGAGGGGTAAATGCGGGACCGAGAAAAAAAAGAGAGAGAGGAGAGGAGAGTAATCTCAATGGACCTCGGGGTCCGTTATTTCGCCTACGATTGAAAAGCGCTCGGTTAGAAACAAGAGACGCGCGACCGGTCGTTAGCGACAATAGGCTTTTGTTTTTTCGGGGGCAGATGTTAGTCCAAAAACTCATACTTGAACCCGACGTTATGGGTACTGGTTCAACGTGTCAGGTTTGCCAACCACCAGAAGGGTGAAAAGATGCTGCTCGTGTCGTTACATCGCAGAATCATCTGAATCTGATTTAAACCATTAACCATATAATAAAACGAAAGAAACTATAAAAGAGTAAAGTAATTTTTACCATACTTTCAAAGTGAATGTTACACTGACAGTAACTTTAGCGCATTTTTGGCAATTTTTATACTATTTTTTTTTTGGAGTAAAAGTAAAACCAAATTTTAACTCTCTACATGCTATTCACACTATTTTTGGTTAATTTTTACCCCCCCCCCCCTATCCTTTCCCATGTCACACTCAATTATATACATTAGCGCCATTTTCTCTCCAGGTTGTCACAAATTGTTTGACCCCCCTTTCCCCCTTAAAGTGTGACGTAATATGTGGATGGCCCCTCAGGTCGTAAACGGCTTTTTAATATTAACACTGTTTTTCTAATAATAAATTAAAATTTAAATATTAAACGAATTTTTAAAAAAGTACGACTATTTAAAGAAAAAAAAATAATACAGAACTTGTAGCTAATGAAACGAATGTTATTTTTTCTGATTACAGCGGAAACTTCGCAGGGGGGCAGTACGCCCGATACGGTACAATGTGGTGGCTGTAGGGCATCATTTCCATTGGGGGAAATTGTTCGATTTATCGAGCACAAAGTGAATCATTGTCGAAGTACACTTCAGGGATGTCACAGTCCACCACCGGCGGCAGCACCCGAGGATTCAGATCCAGAGGATGCGCTTGCCCTGAAAAGTTTGGATCAGGAGAAATTGAAATCAGTGCCGAGTATCTCGGCGCCAATTAATAAGCGTGTTAATAGAATTGAAAGTCCCCCAACGCCCCAAGGTTCTGGGCCCGATGCCGTTAGTCCCATTGAGCTCAGGGCCAGTGCCAGTTCCACCCCAAAGAGACGGACCGAAGTCTCCGAGGAGGAAAAGGAGGACGTACCCAAGAAACCAAAAACCGAATCTGTTGACGCCGACACCAATACCGTCAATTCCGGTGAGTTACCAATTTTTAAAATCACTTTACTTTCGGTTAATATTTGTAAAAAGAAAAGAAATATTTATGGGGTAAATGTGTCCTTCAATTTCTTTTAATCGATTTTTTTTAAGAATACGGGATAATTATGTCCTTCATTTTCTTTTAATTGTTTAATTGTAAAAACAGGGGGTTAATATGTCTTTCAATTTGTTTTAAAAGTTTTTTGTAGAAAAAAATACGGGGTAAATATGTCCTTTAATTTCTTTTAATCTTTTTTTTTAAAGGAAGGCCTCAAACCAGTAAAAGTATTTAAAAATACGGACTTTACGGACCAACTACTGACAAAAATATAACCAATCCGAGTCAAATAACAGAACATTTTACTTAAAACTATAAATTAAATTATTCATATATATAAAACATGAAAATATCGATAACTCCGAGTCTTCAACTCGGAGTGATCGATTTCTTCATGATTTATAAGAATTAAAGCTGACCGAGTGATAAAATCATTATCAATTCCATTAAATATTTTCAAGAATTTTTAACTAAAATTCTTTTTTAAATCGATTATTATTTTGAATAATTTTCGTAAAAGTTCTTTGCAATTTTTAAATCCATTTGATTACAATATTCAATTTTACAAAATTTCAATATTATTCGTAAATTCTTCAATTAAAATTATATTAGAAAATAAAAACTTAAAATAATATAAAACAAATTCAATTAAACTTTTTCAAAAAAATTCATTTCAAAATTCAATTATTTCTAAAAATTCACGCTATATTGCTTTTAATATTCAATTATTATCTAAAATTTTAACTGAAATTCATTTTTATGAAATGAAAATCAATTTTTATTAGAATATTCTACTAGAATTCAATTATTTAAACTTTTAAATATAAAAATAAAAAATTCATTAATATAATTTAATGCTTCTTATAATTCAATTCCTATAAAGAATTTTATCAACAAATTTTTAAATAATTGAATACATTCGACGAGTTTTAATAAAATTTTTAAGAATAATTACAGTTTTCTAAAAATTCGATTAAAATTGTATTAAAAATGATTGAAATTCTGCGATGAGTTTTATTATTTGTGAAAATAATTGAATCCCTAAGAAGAATTTTATTATTATTGAATTATATTTAATTTGTGCCATGAATATTATTACTCTTGAAAATAATTGAATTTCTGCAATAATTTGTAACTTTTTCAAAAGTAAATTTTTTTTTTCGTGTTTTGAACTAAAATTCTTCTGTAAATGGATTATTTTCAATAATTTTTGAAAATGTTCTTTGAGTATTTTTAAATTCATTTCTTTACAACTCAATTCTACAAAATTTCAATTATTCGTAAATTCTTTAATTAAATATATATTAGAAAATAAAAACTGAAAATAAATTTTAAAAAAAATCTGCAATTAAATTTTCTCAAAAAAACTAATTCCACTCAATTGTTAGTTAAAAATATTAAAAATACAGATTTTCAAAGATTTTAATTTGAAACCTTTACAAAATTCAATTATTTCTAAAAATTCACGCTCTAATGCTTTTAATATTCAATTACAATCTAAAATTTTTACTGAAATCCATTATTAAATCAATTTATATTAGAAAATTTTACTAGTATTCAATTATTTAAAGACGAAAAACCTAATTCTTTGAATATTTGCATTTTTCTTTAAATTGAATTCTCATAAAGAATTTTCTCAACAATTTTTTTATTTATTGTTAATTCTTTTGACGAATTTTAATAAAAATTTTAAGAATAATTACATTTTTCGACGAATTCGATTAAAATTGTTTCAAAAATAATTGAAATTGTGCGATGAGTTTTATTATTTATAAAAATAATTGAATTCCTAAAAAGAATTTTATTATTTATGAAAATAATTAATTCCCTGTAAAAAAATTTATTATTTATAAAAATAATTGAATAATTACGAAGAAATTTATTAAAAAAATTTGTAAATAATTGAATTCCTGTGACAAATTTTATTATTTGTAAAAATATGTAATTGAATTCTAGCCAAGAATTTTATTAAAATTTGTAAAAAAAATTGAATTTTTTAAAAACATTTTTCTAAAACTTAAAGGAATAATTCAATTATTTCGAATAATTGAATTAAAATTGCATTAAAAATAATTGAATTCTTGGGATGAATTATATAATTTATGAAAATAATTGAATGCCCGTAAAAATTTATATTATTTATAAAAATACTGGAAATATTGCGAAGAAATTTATTATTAAAAAATTGAAAATAATTGAATTCTTGTGAAATTTTATTATTTATATGAAAATAATTAAATGTTTGCGTAGAATTTAATTAATTTTTTTTAAGTAATTCAATTCTTTTGGCCAATTTTATAAAAGTAGTAAATATTGAAAATCATATTGTATTGACGAAAATTTTTTGAAAATAATTGAAATTTCGTCAAGAATTTTGTTCAAATTTTTGAAAATAATTGAATTTTGAAGAATAATTTAATTATTTCTAAAGATAATTGAAATTTTGACGAGAATTTAAAAAAATTTTTGAGACATAATTGAATTTTGGAGAAGAATTTTATGACTTTTGAAAATAATTGAATTTTTGCAGTCATTTGCAATTTCTCAAAAATTCTCCAAATTATATCGTACAGTTTACGGACCTAGTTCGAGCCTTGAAAATAAGGGGTAAATAGGGGGTAAAATAATTTTTTTTTTCCAAAAAAAAAAAATTTAAAGAAATTGAAGGATTGTTTTTTTTTACTAAAAAACAATAAAAAGAAATTGAAGGACACATTTACCCCGTACAAACATTTTTTTTTTTTTGCTCAAACATATTTAATATTCGAAAAGTCGTGTGAAATATAATCTCTCCTCGATTGCACTTTGTTAAATATATTTAGTTTTCAATTTATTTGAAATATCGAGGAGTGATATAGAGGAACGTAAATGTAATTGGGTTTAAATCGAAAGCTGCGTATAAAAGTCAACAGCCAAAAACCTGAACCATATGTGTATTTTGGAAAAGTGAACCGTTAAAAGGATGGGAAAAAATAGAGGTTTTTTTTTTAAATACATCAGTAATATATATGTACATACAGAAAGAGAGAGAAGCGTCACGCGATGCTTGTCGTGGCTGGACGAATGTGAACAATGCCCTGGGGGATTTGATTTTTGAATTTAAAGCGCCTCACTCGTCACTGGGGTGATCTAGCTAGCCTCCCTGACCCCCACCCCTCTTTTGTATGTATCCCGGTGTACACATTGTCACTCGCTGTATCAAAGGGGTTTATGCGCGGGTGTTATCAGAATGTGGTTCACCGAGTTTTTAAACTTTTTTATTTTTCCCGACGCACTCAAAAGTCTATTAATTTTACAAATTTGAGAAATTTACAAGTCTTTTTAAAACAGTTGGAAAGAATATGTTTCATTTTTTTTTTAAAGAATTTTATAAAAGTAGAAGTAAAAAAAAGTATCGTCTAAAATCTATAAAAAAGTATCAAGATAGGAGCGAATCGTAAAAAAGTAGTAAATACTTTAGTAAATAGTATAAATAGCCAAATAGTTATATTTATTAAATATTTAGTTTAGATGAGAACACGATAAACCTGTAAATAGAAGAATAATTAATTTTGAATTAAGACGAGCGTGTGCGTAAATTTCGAATTTAAATCGGGGTCAGTTTGAGATGTCAGAAGCATCACATCCCCTAATATATGTAAAGTTTGATGTACTCGTGACCGGTACGTGCTTTTACCTGAACGGATGGCTGAGAGTGAGAGTGGTGAGTAGTCTGTGGCTATACATACGATTCGGGGTGAAGGAATACATAACCGGCTCGTGCAGACCACGTGGCCGAACAATAGGACGATTCTAATTGGGCTTTAGGACGTGGCTGGCTACTAACGGGAACACGGGAAGGAACAAAAAAGCAAAAATGAAAAAAAAGTGACAAAAACTCGTCGAAAGGGAGGCATCAGATACTACAATGTTGTGGACGCACGAGAGCACGTTCTCTTCGCTGAAGGGTTAAATCCGGCACGAGCTTTAAAGGTACAGGATAGTTACCAGAGCCACCGACCGTGATGAAACTTTTAAGAGATGTTACTAATACAGACAAGCACACAGCTCGACTGAAATATCGTGCGTGTGTGAAATAGAAGCCATCTCCACGACGTAAGCAATTAAGACCACCCGAATTAACCGTTTTCTTCCTGCCAGTATGGACCCTCAAGACAAGAGTGAGGAAGAAAGAGAGACACAGAGACAAAGAAACCCCCCTTCCCTCGCCCCTCACCAAGAAGGGATGAGTTTGCGAGAAAATGTCTTTCAAACTATATAGGGATTGAGAATACAGCTGCTCTCAGATAGAAAATCGCTTTTCCTTTGAATTAATTACTTGTTCTGTTTACATTGAGAAAAAGATTATCAAGGAATTTTTATTTTCTTATTCATTTATGTAAATATTTAAAAAAGAATAATATATGTGTGATTCTTACTTTAGTGAATAGTTCACAATGTTTATAATCAACGCGATTTAAAAGGAAAAATATTTTTATTTTCCAAAGCAAATTTATAGATATGAAAGTTGAAAAATATTGTAAAAAATTTTTCTGATCTATTATTTAAAATAGAAAAATTTGCGAAGGCAAGAATTTTTTTTTTTTTGTGAAAATCATATTTTTGACTTCAATTGTTGATTATAAACATTTTATGAGAATTCATTTTGAAGAAACATTCAATTATTCAAAAAAATTATTTATTTGCTTTTTATTTGTACTTAAATAATTGAATTCTGGTAAAATTTTCAAATAAAAATTTATTTAAAAAATAAAAATTAATTATAGTTAAAAGCATGAAAAAAAATTGAATTTTAGAGAAGTTACAAAAATGATTGCACAAAATTCAATATTATTTTCAAAAGTAATAAAATTCTGCTCAGAAATTCAATTATGTTCAAAAATTTAAAGAAAATTCTCGTCAAAACAATTCAATTATCTTTAAAAATAATAAAATTCTAA